TATAAGACTTGAAGATTACAGTACCTCCGGCATTAGCATTACGCAAGCTGTCCAACCGACGACTAAAACCTCTTGAATGTTGTTCAGAATCATGTACTGGATAACATTTGTCAAGATCAAGGTCAAGAATTTTTAGTGCAAAAATGAAAATAAGAGGACTAATCACCAATGACCTTGATCTTGACAAATGTTATCCAGTACATGATCCTGAACAACATTCAAGAGGTTTTAGTCGTCGGTTGGACAGCTTGCGTAATGTTAATACCGAAGATACTGTAACCTTCAAGTCTTATAACTCAAAAAGTACTTGACGAAAATGAACTTAATTACAGTGTTTTGGAAAGCTCTCGAGATGTGCTGTGAGAATATGCAATAAAAAATAGGGTGTTCCATTTAAAAAAATTCAACGTGACTTTAACTTGATCTCAACGACGCCAGTCAGGATCAAACTGATGAGACTATTGAATAGACTTTTTTAAATCCTACAACTTTTATTTGAAACATTTTTCTGTAAAACTTATATTTTTTGAGATTTTTCAGGGTTTCCATATTTTTTCCTCACCCTGTATATCAATAAGAGAAAAAAGATGTAATAATGCTTCCTCATCAGTAATATGTGTAAATGTAAATTAAACAAATAACATATCGTATTTATACTTATAATAACATTCGGATTTATTTCATATTCGATCGTTTTCATTTTCCCGTCATGAGAGAGCAATGTATATGCGAGCATCAACTGTATGCGAGCATCAACCTCGGGTGGGTCATGAACGTGCTGGCGCCGAGAGGCAAAGTTCGAGCATGTCGGTCGTTAGAATTGTTTCACGACTTCTTTACGATCCTACCAGGGGCCATTCTAATTTTTCACTGGCATACACGTCGCACAAACGTCTTTATCTGAACGTTACGTTTCACATGTACGCGTATTCATAGTTATACGAAAAATACCTGGAAACTAGAGAATTTTCAACTCGATCCTTTCGTTATACCTTTAATTTGAATAACTGTTATTATTATCGGAAAAAAATTATAAGCAAGCGTGTATAAGTGTGCGCAAATAATAGAATATGGATCTTTAAAATAAAAATATTAATTGAAAATAATATAAATAATGTCATTCTGACAGTCATAAAAGAGTAAGATAAGAGAAATTAGAAAATAAAATCAATTAAAATTGAGTGTTTCGTCCCTACTCTAATTTGACAAATTATTTAATAAAATTAATTAATAGAGGTAAATAATTAATCTTTTAAAATAAATTAAAATAAAAGTAACAGAGCAGCAGAAGTTTAGACGCGCCTAACATGAAACGTGAAGGTAATTTTTTGCTTCTTCGAACGTTTTATCACGGGCGATAAATTCAAACGAAATGCAACATGCGTGTAACGACACACACACACACACACACACATGTAAATATAATATTACATCACACATATGGTATCCCTTGTATATTAAACAAAACGCAAGTTGTACCGATACATAGATTTTAAAATATCTAATAGCTCTTCGAAAACATTATCGATTACGAGAATTGCTGACTTTCGTAATACATTTACTATCAAAGCATAGCCACATTCCGCCGCGAGTTTCATAAATTCGATCGAAGCTTCCCGTCATGTTCGTTCAATCGCTATATTAAAGCCAAAGGCATGCATTGTGCACTCAATCTTTGTATACGCGATTCATATTTACGACGCGTTATTAAACAGAAATAAAATTCCAATGTAGTGTTCCAAAATTCCAAAATTTCCTAACTACATTTTTTAGAGTAATTGTAATATTATTTATCATTGTTTTTGAAAATCCCTTACTTAAATATTAGATATCTTGTTATCTAATCCGACATTTTTCAAGCTATGCTGAACGACTTCATAAGCACATAGCAATGTATAATTTGCTTTTATTATAAATAATCACTAGATATTTTACAATAGCAATAGCGAAGCAAAAGAATTTATTACAATTATGTTACTTATAATAATGTTACACATTATATTAGATATATTCATTAAAATATTTATATTTATACACATTTACATTCTAAACCAATTATATATATTTGTTATGCCGTTATTATCATGCGATATAATCATTCACAATTGAAATTATATATAATTCGCGTCCTTTTTCTATGAAAATTCTCACAGGAATGTCTCCATAAACTGCATCGCTGTCCTACAATCTCAGAAAAAAGCATGAGAAACGTCGATTTAATCGTCGCGTGCGTGCAAGTGATCGCGTGAAAGCACTCGAAGCAAATCCACCTTCGGACGACAAACTCGGAAAGTCATAGACTCCGAAAAAGAAAAATAGAGAAAGGGATCGTTGAAGCTCTTTACGGATGCGTCTCTCTTCGATATTTTTTTTTTTTTTTTTACGCGGATTTGCGTGAAGCGGATTTGTGCGACGCGGCTCTTCAACGCTGTCTGTCCATCTTGTTCAAGGATCACGTGGATCTCCATCTCCCGAGTTCGAGGGCGTCCCTTTCGAAAGGTTGACGTGGAAAATGACGGAATGTTAACCTATATTCTGTTCACGAGCGAGTCACTTTTGACACATCTGGACGATAACGCGTTATGTCGCGACCCACATAAACAGGTGCGCTTTGCACCCTGTGACGTTGTACAGGGACTTGAGATCACAAAGGTTAAAATAACGTAGACGTAGATTATGCTTTCAGACCACACGTTGACTATCGTCTTTCATTATAGATTCACTCGATCAATCGAAATAACCCTACGTTATATCTATTATAAATCGAGCAAAAATCGTGTCAATGCTCAGTAAACACAAAGTAACAGGAATACGATACTTGTATCAATGTTATGATTTCACGCTCAACAATATAACTGTTATGTAAAACATATGTTTATATTGTTGTTATGTCGTTATTAGTTGACAATGTTTACCGTGTACTTTCGAAATTATAAAACTCTCTCTTACATAACGCGTGATCGCGAACTAATTTGATAATTATTTGCGTGATAATTCTATCAAAAGATCCTTTAGTTAGAAAACATACATACAATCAATAAGTTGTGTTGAAATAATTTTTAGCAAGAATGATACTCGGTTTGAAAAAAAGTAGAGTAAAATTGTAAAATAAATCGCGTTTTTTTTTTAAAGCTAATAGATTCTCACGATGAAAGACACGTTTTAAAGATATGAACTTGAAGCCGGAGCCAACTTCAAGTCAGAACAGCTCCGACGTACGATACAAGTTGACAAATGACGTCAATGGAAATCTCTCCGCTACGGGGTCAATAAATTTGACAAATGTGAAAGAAAGCTCGTTAAAGGGGCGTTCCTTCAAATTATCTCCGACAGATGGGTATCTCGAGGGTGTTCCGAGCGATAGAAATAACAGAGAGCGAAGGTGTGCGTTCTCAACTCACCGATGCGACGTCGCCTCTGTGCGCGTGAAAATCGCCGCTGTGAAGACGTATCAAACAAATTGCTATGTGGTCCTATCTCTCGTTGCCGCGTTCATTATTCATTATCAATCACACACTGGACACACTGGACACACTTGTGGATCGCGCACAAAACGGACAGAGCACTAACAACGCGATGGGTGAACCGAATGAGTGGCGTTTCGAGTGCGACGGCGACCGCGGGCGGTTGACAGTTCGCGTCGTTGAGAATCGAGAGATGCGTGAGAAACGCCAAAGTAAGCCAACGTCACGACGCTCGTACAAGGAGCGACCGGCTCCGACTAGTCCGACTGTCGTC